TGTGCCATTCCACATTATTACAAATAACTTCATTTCTGGACATTTATGGTTTGATTTCTTTGTATGGATGGATCACTTGGGTTGTTACCAACATCTGGTGAAAATTTCACGTCATTAGCACCTCTAGTAATATATTTACTGAGAAAAATGTTGATGTGTTTAATATTTATTTTACCCGCTGTATATATGACACACATGACTCTGAGTTTTATGTGACAGAAAGTGGTTTTCTTCTGTAAATATGTTAGCAAAAACCTATAATGAAAATTTCCCAGACTGCTTATAGATTCATCTCTTGAGCAAATACTAATTTTTTACATATCACAACATTGGCAATTTTCTCAGCTTTCATTTAAACCATATTTTATAGAAACCAGATAAGAAATGAGGGTGCTATGAATATTTTTTGTCACAGACTGATGCGCATCCTGCATTGAAACTCTGTTTTGTTGACATGACTCAATGCAGAATAGTGGCTCCTGTGACGGCGCGTTGTTAGCTTTAGCAGCTATATGTCATGTCCAATCCAGTAATATAGATCAATGGAACTGATCCTCATCAGTGGGACCAGCTGTAGTTACAGGTGTGTTTTAACACAACACCATCCATCTGTGGGGTCAAAGGTCATTTACAGTCCAGAGTTCTACACAAAGACTATCCATTAACAGGTCAAAGGTCAAAGGTTGACCCGTGAGACCAGAGGACAGATGTTTACCCAGAATGCACTGCTCCCAGCTGTCAGCATGGTCTGATGAATGGATCATGAAGTCCTCTGTAGACCAAAGGGTTCTAGATGTGAGTCGGTGTAAGTTTGGACCAAACTGGATCCAACAGAACTGTGATCTCAAACCCAGCATCTGATCTACAGCAGGAAAACCCCTGGTGCTGCAGCGGTCCAGTCAGGGTCCAGACCCTGAGCCTGACTGAAACCCAGAGGTGGACCTTCAGATCAGAGACTAACGATGGACAGAAGAGTGGGACAAAGTTCCTCCACAACTGATGAAGTCCTACGGAAACCCACCGAGTCCTGCTGCAGGAGGTTCTGTTTAGTTTTTGTTCCATAAAGAAGGATTCAGCAGAATCTGTTGTTTTTGTTTCGATTTGAATCATTTCAGGACCTGATGAAGACCCTGTGAAGCCTCTAACGCTCAGGTTCTGCAGTTAAACACTCAGACTGTCAGCACGTTTCTTCAATGTGAAAGCGGTTCTGTTTTGGTTCTGGACGTTGGTTTAAACTGTGTGAAAAGATCCAAAATGTTCTGCTGCTGAAAACATGAAGCGTGACAAAAAAACAAAAGTGTTGGAGAAGATTCAAAGGGTAGAAAGTGAGTGAGCAGACCCTCCTGAAGGGTAAATACTTCAGCTGGATGTTGGAACATCTTCAGACTGGTTTGGACTCATGGGAACAGCAACATCTCTCCTCCAGAACCAGAACTTGTTCGTTGAACCCAGCGAGGGCTGACTCTGACTTTACAGATTGTACATGTTGAAAAACCCTGACAAAAGGCACACAATGGAGAAAACAGCAACATCTACAGGAACACAAAGTATTTTACATCTGTCTATATCAAATATGTACAGGACTGAAGGAGGGAGGTCCAGAGTGGTTCTGGTCTGTGTCACAGAACCTAAAAACATGCAACCAACCAGACTTCAGCTTCAAGTATCAGTCTGTTCTGCTGCGGTCTGAAGCTTGGATTTCTCATGAGCCACCTTTTCAGAGAACAACAATGTCTTGTGGAACCCAGTGAGGAGCAGACGTGTCCGGTTCCCCTCCATGTTCCTCCGGTTCCTCAAAGACAAGTCCAGATTTCTTCTAAAGCACTGACACTGAAGGAGGAGGAGGACAGAGTGAAAGCAGCGCAGCCAGAACACCTCAGGGGCTGGAAACTGGATCAGACTATCTTCTTGATGCTGGGTCTCTTAAAGCTGCCGGCGCTGCGCTGCTTCTGCACCTGACTGGCTGAGCCATGACGAGTGCGCACCCCGCTGGACAGAGCTGAGCTGGGGGACAGCTGCACATTCTCTTTGTCCACGCCTGGAGAGCACATGAAAGAGAAGAAGAAGACCAGTCAAAAGGTACAAAAGAATACAGATCGCCATACAGGTCAAGCCCTGAGTGTGTGTTAGGGATGACTTTCAGCTACTACCAACCAGTGTTGTTTTCCTTAACGATGACGAAATATTTTCGTTGACATCCACTTTTTTCATGACAATAACGAGACGGTAACGAAATAAACACGAATCTTTGACGACTAAGACGTGACGAAACGTGTGTGAGTTTTCGTTGACGAGACTGGACAAAAAAGTTAGTCGGTGGTCTGTCAGTCACAGAGTGGAGGGAGGGACAGCAGTGCTGTTACACACACAGCAGCACACATTTCCTCCTCTCATTCAGTAAAGAAGGAAGACAAACAGCCTGCGCCGCTTCACAAAAAAAGAGAAAAAAAAAACAAGAAAACAGTCCGTCTGTCACCTGTAGCTTAACCAGGGAGTAACGTCTCCACCATTATTAAAAGCTGTCGCAGGTCCATTCTGAGCTCAGAAGCTGTTTGTTTACTTTCATGACAAAAGTAAAACCTTTCTTTTATTTTTTTTGGCGGGGGGACTTAGCAACTGCGCATGTCAGTGCTTCTGTTCTGAATACAAGCCTGATGCATGTAAACACTCGTTTGCACAAGTTTAAGTCTACTAAGTTTAGGACTGCACTGCAAAAACTGTCCATCTTACCAAGTTTTAAAACCTTATATCAGCCAAAAAGTCTTTTTGATCTTGTTTTGAGACTGATTTACTAAACAAGAACTGATTGTGTAAGAATAATCATCTTGTTTTCAGAATGTGTAAGATTATTTGTCTTATTTGTCTGAAAATTTGACTT